GGATACTCCGTAGTTTCCCTGAATAAACACGTCATCATCCTGAGACTCCCCCCACGCCGACGGTTTTTCCGGTTGTCATGCAAAAGGCAGATATTTTCATGTTTTCTTCATCCCACCGGTGCGCGCGCCGGCAACTAGGGCGGCAACTAGCGGGATTTTGCGGTTTGTTTCTCAGGGCTCTTAGCTAATAAACTGCTAAGTCAGCGTTGTTGAGAATTCAGTCCCCGATTTTCGATCACCGCGCCAAGACGTACATAAGGAGGGCCTCGGCATCTTTTTTATCTATGAAGAGGAGCCTCGGACTGATTTTGTCTGCAATTCGGCGTTCAGATAGCAGACAACGACGCCAAAAAGCTGATAAGACCCGCTACCAAACGACGGACCATGGCCGAACAGCCCAGAAATACTCAAAGAAGCATTTTCTCATTCACCGCCCAGTGTAACCTAACCATAATCGCACAAGAATTATCAATCGTCAACTCCACTACTCCGAAGTTTCGACGAGGTTCAAATGCCTCAAAGCCGTTGGCATTCGCAGATTCCAGAAGAGGTCCGAGACGTTGGAGGATTCTCGCAATGTGACATGATGAAGCCCCCCTCGTTGCGGACACATTTGACTAGGGGAGTCCGCCTCATAAATGCCAAAAATGATGTGTAGCTTGCGAGTTCATCATTGTACGAGTGAAATGTTCAGTAATAGACTACTCTGACACTTTTTGTTTTCCGTCTACCGCAGCCTGCAACGTTGATCCCTCTCCGCTCTGGCCGATCCGACTTCCTCATTGGGCCTCGAACCACCATAATCCTCAAGCTTTCTGACTCTTCAGACCGCGTCAAGACTTGTCTGGTCTCCGAGACGTTGGAAGTTTCCCGAACAATAACAGCCAGGGCCACTGTGCCTGACTTACACCTTATTTTACTCGCGGCCCCTCGCCTCAGGTTATTTACATCCCACCTGGAAACGGTAAGGTTACCGCTATACTTTCCCCCAAGTCATCGCAACAACGACATACTTGGAGGTCCATCTGGTCTCTGTAACGTGGCCTGCGACCGCGGGCGGCGCAACCCGAGCTGCGGCGAGGCCCAGGCGGCTTTTTGGGGGGTCCGTGGAGGGCTCCGTCTATTGTACTTAAACAAAATGGAAGGCTAATTTTCCATCGTTGCTCGTTCTTTTGCTCAGGTGGGAGAACTGGATAGATGTCAGAAAGGCTTGCTGAGCAAGCTCTTTACCTATCGTTAATTCATTCATTTCGTCGTCGTCGCTGGATGATCTCTCGCTCTGTTAATCAAGCCGGCCTTGACAACGAATCAGTACGACCAACGCCACAGCCGCAGTCAAGTCCACCAATCGAGGAAAGGACCGCACGACATACCATCCCGGTAGTTGCATCACCGCCGCCTGCAGCGCTAGCAATAACCGCGGTCGATACTACCCAACCTATTCGTATTGAGAGAACCATGGAGTACACATCCGATAAAGAAAAGCCCTACGGGCCGGGCGAAGACCCAATGCAGAAGCTCGATGAAGAGAGCGGTAGCGATGGTATTGATGAGTTCAAGTCACCGCCGCCGTCGCCCACTAAGCCGACGGGGCCCCCGAATGGAGGCTTGAAAGCCTGGATGCAAGTTCTTGGCTCGTTTTTCATTTATTTCAACACGTGGGGTAAGTCATAAGTCGGACCATCCGCCCATACAGTAATTTCAAGTCCTGTGCACTGCCTTTTTTGGGCAAATGAAATCCCGCGGGCTCCCGCATAGCCTGCATCAATTTGGGGATTAAGCCAAGCAATGAGCGCGTTCAGAACTAACAGTATTCCAGGACTTGTTGCCAGTTTCGGTACCTTCCAGGTCTACTATGAGGGTCACCTCCTGAAGGAACACAGCTCTTTCGCTATTTCCACAATTGGCTCGTTGCAAAGTTTCTTGATGGTGTTCCTGGGCCTCTTTGCCGGCCCCATCTTTGATTTGGGATACGCCAAGCAACTTCTCTGGGTGGGAACCACCTTGATCGTCACCGGGTCTATCCTCCAGAGTCTCAGCCACAATCTTTGGCAACTCTTGTTAACACAAGGTCTCTGTGTCGGCGTTGGACAGGGAAGTTTAGCTGTGCTAGGAGTTGCTATCTTATCGCCGTGGTTCACGACTAAGCTACCCATGGCAACCGGCATTGCAGCGGCTGGAAGCGGTGTTGGCGGGTAAGTCTTCCCTCACCAAAAATCTCCGGCTCAGAAAGTATCCCTCCGGCTAAGGCTGGCCATCCGTACTAACATCGTGTTCTCATAGCCTGGTATTGCCGATTCTTTTCAGATCGATCCAGCCAGAAATTGGCTTCCGCTGGACTGTGCGCACCATGGCGCTGATCGCGCTCACAACCCTTAGCATTTCGATCGTGACCATGGAACCGCCTAAACCTTCAGCCTTCAGAAGACCCTTGATTGACCGCACTGCCTTCAAAGACGCCCCGTATCTACTTTTCGTGGGCGCCTGCTGCCTCGTGTTCCTTGGCATGTACACTCCGTTCGTCTACATTCCGGGATACGCGTTGGCAAGGCATGCTGTCAGCACGGAGATCGACAAGTATCTGCTTGCGATCCTCAACGGCGCATCCATTGTCGGCCGCACCGTACCAATCTTATTCACCGCTCAACTTGGTCGAATGAACATGCTCATCGTCGCAGTAGCGGCCTTATCCATTTCGGCATTCTGTCTCTCGGCAGTCACCCACACTCCTGCGTTGTTGGTGACGGTCATCTTTTACGGAACCAGCAGCGGAGCATTCTTCTCTCTGCAGCCGGCTACATTTTCTCTTCTCACGGAGGACAAGAAGTACATCGGAACCAGACTTGGTATGGCTTATGCCGTAATGTCTGTTGCTCTGTTGCTAGGTTCTCCCGTTGGCGGCGCACTCGTACGCTCTGTAGGCTACATTAGCGCCTGGATCTGGGCAGGAGTGACCCTCGGGCTGGGTAGCATCACAATCGCATGTTCGCGAGGCATGGCAACTAAGTGGGATTGGAAGAAAACGCTTTAGTTGTCCCAAGTTTTGCATAATCAGACTGGTCTAATAATATAGAGATGATACCCTGATAGATTTCTGTAGAATAGCTTATCCTAGATGACTCACCGCTTAATGCTTACACGATGTTGATGCCACCGGTCCGGATGTATTTTGCTTCGCCTCGTGTGCGATGTCGAGTCTAATTGAGCCAGCTCTTGGCAGATGATCCTTCATCCCGTGGGCTACAATAGTTCTACAGTAGTAATGTAATTATGAAGTAATAAACGCTCTCTGCGCACTCCTGCATGGTCAATAGACTCCCAGGCAGATGCTCAAGTAGTCGGCTTCGACTGAAGCACCATTTCCCACACTCAGTGCAAATTTGGCTCTCCCGTACATAGTGAGACACTGACTAATAACCATCCCAGCTCGGATGAAAATCGCATACGCGGCACGCATAGAACCAGTCGTGCCAGGAACCATCTGGGGTGACATCTCACGCGTCCAATTAAGCATATTCGAGCCTTTTTCTTTTATGTAAGTAGCGTATTCTCTTGGCACACACTCAGCCTCTTGGCCCCTATTCTCTTAGTCACTTTGTCTCGCTCCATCCACTCGGCATTGTCTACTTCAGCATGGATAAAGTAAACAGAACGGAGCACCCGATGAGTCGGATTCTCCAGCCAACGCCAAGAAATTGATAGGTGTTCCACACGTAGTTTCCCATGGCAAGCACAAACCTTCCGTATCCTTGGTAGAAAACCATCGGCCCTACTTCAAAAAGGACCCTGAGCTCCACTACGGATTCAGTGGAGATCAGGCAAAAGGGTCAGGGCCCTGGCCAGGATTCGAACCTGGGGCCTCTTCCAGGTGGATGTGTTTAATGACAACCCTAAGGAAGAATCATACCGCTAGACCACCAGGCCGTTGGCAAACTCACGATAGTCGGTAAGTTGCTGGGAGGAGCGGCCGTTGCTTCGTCTCTTCATCCACAGCGAGCATTGCATCAAGGGCTCGACATGTCGTGTTGCTTCATCCAGAGTGCGCACGGACCCTGAAGTGACGGACTAGAACAATGGTGTTGATGTAGCTCTGTTTCTTATGTACATGGGAACAACAAATACTTGTTCCAGCGGTGCTTGTTGTGGGAAGTGCTGTGAGAAGTAGCAACTCGTGTGGATAGACCAAAGTTCATGGCGCTTTGGAGCCTCATTTCACCCGTGGGAGCATTCGATTATGCCTCAATGCTGTTTCTGGTATCTCAAGCATGCCAAAAGTAAGCACTATGGAGTAGTTGCGAATAATTCTTTGACTAGATAGCTATTATTGTATTCGGGGATCATACGAGACTGTGGTCTCGTGGGTGACTTGAATTCGAGCGGCCGTTGACGGCGTGATTCGACCATCGTTTCTATTCGCAAATGAGACTGACTCAACGCCATTGAAGTCACTTCATTAGCCGCATGATCTATTCCGCTACAGGTCCTTCGGTGCTGATTTGATTCAGATTCGATAACTGTCTCCCGCTCACTGGAAATATCCGTGCGGTACCTCCTTCCAGACCATAACTCAGCTTCGTCATCGCTGCATTTTGCTTTTCCCGAACTCTCTTCTGGAAGATCATCATGTGACTGTAATTCGTACGACTCGGACTGCATGTTGTGTCTTTTTCTGTTATTCTCGATGACAGTGGAGTATGGCAATGACTTCTTTCCGCTCTTGTCAGCAGATCCGGTGATATGTGAAGAAATGAAGCTTGGCAGATATCGGACAAAGAAAGGCTGCAACCCAGGGACCGAGGCGCACACAATGCCGGCATTCGCCTCGAGGAAGGACAAGTTGAATTGTTCGGCTACACCCCAGCTGTAACCAGCACTCTTCAACAGTGATGGAAGGATGATCGTCCGTTTGATCGCCGATGCACAAACACAACGAGCAGTTAGGACCGGAGTGATACTTTGACGGAATAAGATAGAGGTAGAAAACAAGGAGGCAAAGGCTCTCACAATATCCCAGTGGCGAACATTAGAATGACAGAAACCTTCTGCCTTCGAGCCATTTGAAGTGGAATGACAATTTTCAGCGGAAGCAGAAGTATGACGACGTCCATAATGATTTCTGCGATGCTGAGGATCATACAAATAGTCTCTTTGTCGACGCAGTGGGCAGTCTGCAGTGCCTCTGTGTCCCATGATGCGTAGATTGGACGACAACCGAAGATGCTCAGCAGTTGATAGGCCACAGAATAAGCGATGACAATTCCGATGAGACTTGTGACGATGATTCGAGAGCTTCGATCGGGAGACAACCGCAGGTAGAGGAACAAGAGGGAGAGTTTCGCCAGTACAACACTGAGAGAATATGTCACGGTGGTACATGTGCCGTATTAGTGTCAATTCGAGTCAGCTTTCCGAAGCATGCCTTGCGTAGACATCCACTCAGTAGCTCGTATCTGACTCAAAATAATGATTAGTGGGCAATAGTTAACTTACAATGAGAAACCCGGGGTTATAATCTGCGTAAGTCACCTGCCAGAAATGTGATGTAACGCCTAGATCGATCACTAAGTCGGTGAGAAATAGGGCAGGCAGAATAGTAAGGTAGGAATGAATGCGAACTTACTTTCCATTCCTGTAGCTAAGAAGGCAAGGCTCATGACCATTGAAGTGATAATCAAGTCTGTTTTCTAAGTGTTAGTAGTTCTCTCAGATCATCATGTCTCTTCATAGAACTATTGAGAATCAGTTGGCTTTCAATCATCAACGCCTAGGCTCCGTTTTGCAACATGTAGTCTCGTAAATATTCGAAGAAAAACAGCCGATAAGTAAATGACAGTCGTCGAGACCCCTGCAGCTATCATACCGATGCCCACGGTCTTAGCTGCAAATCGAGCCTCGCCGATGGGTGGTTCGGCCATGTAGACGACATCTGCGGCGGTCGCCATGGCGGAAATTTCGAAATGCTAACGCTCTCAGGAACGGTGTTCGAGAGATGATGAACGCAAAAGACCAGCTCGTGCAAGCTGCATTGGTATACTGGGCTCCTGAAACTTTTGAAGGATGTCATGTGCGGAACAATCCCAAAGAGTTGTTGGTTCTAACATCTGAGATTGATCAGACGCTGAGCCATGTCTTCGTGGTTATCACACTTGGCAATGGGCATCCTTTTTCCAACCACAACTCTCCTCGGGAATGCTTCCTAACGGAGGCTCTCATGTTCGTCAAAGATGTCATGGATCACTTCGTTGGTTCACGTGCAAGGATGTAGCCCACTGCACATGCATGTTTGCCATGCCAGGGGGAGTCTCCAGCAAACAAATCTTTTCGCTGGCGAAGGATTTCGGCCAAGAATATCTTTCGATTTCCCCCAACAAACGAGTCCTTGGGCCACTCAGATCATTTGTGTTTCGGGAGGTTTTCTCTGTGCGGGCCGCTAAGCATGTAAAATATGTGTTCAATTCCAAGTTATCGATGAGTGGCGAACCCGACTTCGCAGTCTGAAGTCGATGTATGGAGACAGGTAATCTTAACATCCGAACATAGGCTTATGTCCATGTGTACTTAATCTATGGACCAACGTCTGTAAGATCACTTCCTGAAAGACGAACATCCTCGGCGTGAAGTACACTGGTAGCATCCAGTGCGCAAAGTGCGGGTAACACTAGGATCTCGAGCCCACTTGGTGTTTCGTTATCTCGCTTGAACGAATCCTACATTGAACATCAGGGCGAAGTGCTTGGGTTCCTCAATATCTAGCTGTGCTGGTGTTGCCAACGGTGACGCTCGTCTATAAATCACATATGATCTCTCATTCGTGCACCAAAGTTCGGCCGCAAAATGAGATCTTGGCTCATCGGAGGCGGCCCGCAGGCCGATACGTGGAGCCAAGGCACTAGAAATTCGGATCCCAGCCGCGGAGACGATGGCTTCCCTTCGAAGCCACAAGATGCTTGTCATATGTGGATATGATACGATCCAATGTGACAAGCTGGGGTTGAAGGACTTATTGGAACCGGGGTTCTCGGTTCACAACCAAAGCCGGTTTCGTCTTGAGAAAGTACACATTGGATTGTCGATCCTATGTCTACGTTTGCTTGCTCCTGAAAACACGAAATCTCCTTCTTCCTTATCTAGAAGGTTTCTCCAGTATCCGGGTCTAGCTGATTTCTATCTCACCTACCATACTCTCTTTGGCGTATTGCGAACTTCTACATGAAACCATCTCACAATGTCTCAGATGCAAAGCGAGAAAGAGAAGCATCCAGAACTTTTCAAGCCGGATTTGAACATTGACAGGCGGCAATGCAAGCGTGTCGTACCTCTTGAAGTCTTGGCTTTGGGGATGTCCAAGACGGGCACGTCGTCTAAGTAACTTCTAAGCATTTTCAGGCCTTTGGATTCATCAATCATTCTAACGTGATGCAGCTATGCAACGAGCACTGATAATCCTCGGCTACAACGATGTCTATTATGGATTGGCCATGGTCTCAAACATTTGCGAAGTCGAAATGTGGATGGAGGGCATGCACGCGAAGCAGAACCCCAAGTCAGGCCAACAACCATTCGGTCGCACAGAGTTCGACCAGCTCCTTGGTCACTGCGGAGCCATTTGCGATATGCCAGCTGAATTCTTCGGTCCCGAGCTGGTGGCGGCATACCCTGATTCCAAAGTGGTCCTTGTCGAGCGCGACATTGAATCCTGGTACAAGAGCTTCGATGAGAGTATCGTCACCGTCGCCTTCAACCCTGTCTGGCGATTTTTATCGTGGCTGCGAGCCAAGTATGTGGCTGAAATTGACGACATCACTTTCACGTGGTTGAAGTACACCTTTGGTGCAGAGACAAGGAAAGAAGTCCCAGAGAAGGCTCGCGATGGGTATCGAAACCACTACGCGACTATTCGAAGAGAGACACCCCCTGATCGGTTGCTCAACTTGCACTTAAAAGATGGATGGGAACCATTGTGTGCCTTCTTGGGAAAGCCTATTCCTGATGTTCCGTTCCCCCATGTCAATGATCATGAGGCATACCACGAGAAGCTTCAGATAATCATCAGGAAAGGGGCGGTTGCATTCGCAAGGAAGGCGTTATGGGTTGTGGTTCCTGGGCTGATAGGTGTAGCGGCGTATTATCTCGGGTCGAGGGAGGGGTTGCTAGCAAGCATCGCAGGAATCAGCAAGTGAACAGTAGGTAATACAAGTAAACTCCAAATCTTCAAATGATTCTGGTGAAGATTATAGAGTCCTTTAGCTTTGCCTGCCGATATTCGATGTATGATTGTTGCGGCCTGCCTCGTGGGTGTTCATGGGGTCACTCAAGTGAGAGGCTTGTATCATTCTCAGAATGAAAAAAGAACTGACGGGACAGCAGAATACGAAGAAAGCTGATTGGAACTTTCGAGTCAAACATTGAATGACCAACAGAAAAATTGGGTGAGACTGCTTTGAGGCCTTGACTGAAATTTCTCCTCCTGCCTCCTGTGATGCTGCAGCCTGCAACGCTGAAGCAGAGAAACATAATGAAGTCTAACATCAGTAAAGCACTCTCAAATACGAAACGTGATGGCCCGTAATTAATATTTCAGTTCAAGCTGGCGTTCACGGAAATAGTCTTGGAGTATCTTGGCTGACTTGCCTTGATCTGCCGGCAGTTCGCTGTTGCCTTCGACGTCTTCAGTGATTTTTACCCACTTCTTGCCGTCAAGAACGGCCGGACGATCGTTCTTTCTCGTTCACATTAGAATTTTTGCCCACTCATATGAGTTTTTCATTTGCCTCTACTTAAGTTTCGCTCACTTTCTTTCTCATCCTCGCTCTCACTCTGTCTGCCACACCGCTCTCAATCTCATTCTCATTCTCGTACTTGCCTTTGACTTCTCCCGCCTCCTCACTACCTTCCAATATCTGCAGCCCATCTGCCACAGGCCCTCCCATAAAAAAGATCTTCACTCTCCCGCGGGTCTGTAGATTTCATTCTTATACATCTATCTCATTCCTCTTCTTCCAGGACTCGTACTTCTACCCGCCCACTCCTCCTCCGTCACCCTTCGGCACACCACAGCTTTCACACTCTTGCATATTTACTTGCAAGTCCTCGCCGCTCATCACAGACCATTGATTCCTCATCGCACTCTCATCAATACTCATTCATCATGTCTTCCGCCGGCTCTTCCTCCGAGGCTGCTACTGCCCCTAAGTCCGCCCTTACCGAACGCGAGCTCGAGATCCTCAAGCACACTTGGAGCTCCTTGAAGAGCGCTCCCGAGGTAAGATCTATCCTCACTTTAAAATCTTCGCTATCTACCTCACGCATTGGACAGCGCTAATAACATTTCTATCTTCCAGGTTGACTACGCCAAGCTCGCTGCGGCCTGCGGCATGACCAACCCGCGCTCCGCCTCCAACGCCTGGAGCGTCATCAAGAAGAAACTCTTCTCCGATCTCCCCGCCCAGTCCAGCGACAGCGCCGGTAGCAGCCCCGCCAAGCGCAAGACTGCCACTCCGTCCAAGAGAAAGGCCGCTACCGCCGCCGCTGCTACCACTAGCTCTGACGACGCCGACGAGCTCGCCGCTGCCGGTGGCGCCAACCTGAACTCGGACGGCGAGGAGAAGCTCGTCGTCGAGACGCCCGCCAAGAAGAAGCGCGCCACCCCGGCCAAGAAGAAGGCCGCTGCTACTCCCAAGGCCGCCGCCAAGACTACCGAGAGCGACGAGAACGCCGACGAGGAGGCCGAGCCCGAGACGCCCGTCAAGAAGAAGGTTCCCGCCGCCAAGCGCAAGACCCCTGCCAAGACCAAGAATGCTGCTGTTGCTGCTGCTGCTCCCGAGAAGGCGGCTTCCGAGAACGAGGAGGCTGCTGATGGCGAGGACGCTCCTGCCGCTGATGTCGCCAAGCTTGAGGTCAAGGATGAGGCTGCCAATGGCGACGTCGAGATGTCGGGCGCCGCGAACACTGGCGAGATCTAAAGGATCTTACGGCTATTTCCTTGCCCAGTTGCGGTATCTTGCTCTTCACTTTCGACCCCTTACGATTCGTTTCTACTAGCACTTGGGGTTCCTTCTGGTAATGACAGTTTGGAGGCCTTTTTGTAGCTTGGGCTGGTGTTTAGGATGATGCGGAGGTAATAGGAATTGGCATCGGTTGGGTCTAGACCATGGTTTGGTTGAAGCGACCAGATCTCGTGATTACCTCATGGGTTTTCGGATAGCTTGATCCACCTGAAGACACAGATCAGTAGTTACATCAAGCATCATGGCACATGATTTACCCTTGAATTACTGCACTCGTGATATTGTTCCACCTGCGGTGTTATCTCGTAAGCCCTGATGATGCCCATGGTGTGGGTGAGGACCTGGGTATATAGAAAAACACAGCTTGCGTCCGCGCTGATTCATCTACCAAAATCATATAGCTTTCTGACTCGCGTGACTCCTCAATTGTGTGATGCTTGAAGCCGGAGCTTGACCTGGCGCTTCCATCGTCCCGTCCGCCCTGTGCCAAAGGGATACCAAAGGGATGAGCCACCATCCCTTCACGAACGTTGCGACCGGCATATGAACCTCAGACAAACCGACGCCTTGCAGAAACTTTTCAACAGTCGTCAATCATAATCTCCGACATCAAGAAAAGAGGAAAGAAAAAGAGGCCAAAGCAAACATGTCTCGTCTCGCCCTCATCGCGACCATCATCTCCACCCTCACCAGCGCCGCCTTCGCCGTAGTATGCACCCAAGCCGAAACCTACTGCGGCTCCCGCCTCCTCAAACTCGGTTGGTATCCCTTCATCAAATCTTCTGATCTCTATGGTTAGAATCATTCAAGAAGCCTCTATTCTAACTTCAAGCTTAGATACAAACAACCGTAAGGCGATTGAGGGCGCCCTGACATCGGGCAGGCAGTCCATCGACGACACGCACGTCAATCAGTCCGTCTTCTGGTGCGCGCCGGCAGGCGTCCCCGTGCCGGGCGACTCGGGTCTCCTCTTTGTGACTTACTGCGGTCCCGAGAACGTCTGCCAAGAAGGCGGAGCGCTCGGGGGCGTCGGGGATGCTTGCGCGGCGTCTAGAGGTGGTGGGCTTAACCATCGGCGCCATCACCATCACCATTGAACGCTTGGGATTTGTTCCTTGACGCGTAATGAGGCAAAGATGAATGTTTCATGTCAACTACAAGCGGGGTGATAAGGAATGTATTTGAGGGAGAAACTATACGGCTCGGATTTTGTCTATTCACTCTTTGAAAAGGGTAGAAGAACATGGGAAATTATGACAGGCATGGTACATACTCGTGTCACCGCGATCTGTATCCTCTATGAACATACTCGCATCTTCATCTATTCCTTGATATACTTCTTCAACCCACGAAGACGCTCCTTGGCCGTCTCGAGCACCTCGTCCTCCTTGCAGACCGCGAAACGGATGTAATCCGCCGCAATGTGCGCATTCTCATCCGTGTAGAACTCGGTGGGCGGGATAGCGGCGACGCCCACCTCCTGGATGAGGAACCACGCGAGCTTGAAGTCGCGCGGACGGCTGGCGACGTGGGGCGGGAACGGGTAGTCCTCGGGCAGCTTAACCTTGGCCATGTTGACGAGGACGAAGTAGCCGCCCTCGGGCTCCGAGTAGGGCATGCCGAGCTCCTTCCACACCTCGTTGAAGCGGTCCATCTTGCCCTTCATGTCCTTGATCGTCTCGTCCCAGAAACCTTCCTTCTCGGCTTGCTCGAAACCTGTCGGACGCGGGGTTAGTCACAATGAGATCCAAGGTTGCTAGGGAAAAGCAATAGATAGAGAGAGAGGGGGCAACATACCGACAGCGCACGCTTCTTGCAGAGGCGAGACGGATGAGTAGCAGATACGAGTATGCGCCGCAGAAACATGCTGGATAAGTTCGGCAGGACCCATAAGCCAGCCCACGCGCCATCCGGTAGCGTAGAAGTTCTTGCCCGCGGAACCGACGGTGATGGTGAGGCGCTCGACCTCGGGGGAGAGCGTGGCTATTCTCGTGAAGGGGACATAGTATAGGCGGTCGTAGACCTCGTCGGAGAGAATGATAATCTCGTTCTTGACGCATAGGTCGCCAATCTTCTGGAGCTCGTCCTTGGAGAACACCTTGCCGACGGGGTTGTCTGTGTCAACATGTCAGCAAAACACGCCCTGTATTTGGAGCTGCAAGGGAAGTGGCGACGAACGTGGTGTGTTGAGGACAATCATCTTGGTCTTTGGTGTGATGGCGCGCTCGAGCTCGTCAAAGTCGATAGTCCAGTTGGCGGCGGATGATGTCGCCGTGGCGCCGTCTGTGGGAGGATGCAGGGGAACGTAGGTGATCTTGCCGCCGGGCATCTCAATGTTGCTGATGTACCTTTCCAAGGAGTCAGCATGCCTGGGACGTATCATGAACAGCACTCGTGGCTTGGCTTACTGGTCGAAGAAGGGCTCAAAGACAATGACCTCATCACCGGGCTCAATAAAGGCCATGAAAGCACTCAGCATGCCTAGTCACCAGTCAGTCCATATTCTAAGATCGTCTTACTCCTCTCCAGGCCTTCTCATCTCACCCTCGTTTGCGCCAGTAGTGATGGTGACTTCGGTCTCGGGGTCCAGCTTGCGGCCCCAGTGAGGAGAGTAGGCGTCCGCAATGGCCTTCTTGAGTCTTGGGCGACCCTTGGTAGGGCTGTACTGGTTGCACTCGACGCGATCCAGCGCTTGCTTGGCGGCGTTGAGAATGAAATCGGGAGGGTTGTAGCCAAAGAACCCCTGTCCCATGTTCACAATGGGCTGCTTGGGTGAAGCGGCAGCGGCCTCGTTGATGATGGACCTGGTCTCGCGGTCAGCATCTTGCACTCAATTGCTCATCATCGACCAACAGAGATTTGTCAGAAGTAGCGCTGGCGCATACTTTTCTGTCTCTCACGACGACCGGGATCTCAATACACACCAGACATCCTGTCGCCGGCCGGCGACGCGGGCCGCGGGCTTGAGCTTGCTGCTGAGAGACATTGCGGTGGACTGGAAACCTCGTCTGGCGGTGCTGGTGCTGATGATGCGCGACCGGAAGAGAGGGAGGACGAGGGAGGTCATGAAGAGGGCAATGGGATGAGAAGAGGAGTCGGAGCGGCACGGCGAAGAGGGTTGTGAGTCGGCCTCCTCGATTAACCTATCCGTAGTACTCCAGAACGAAGCTCCGAAAATTGGAAGACGCTGATTTGCTTCACGGCAGCTCGAGACCCATTTCCCGTCTGGAGCGTTTGAATGGCGTAATCGGCCGTCCCGATGTTCGGTGCTGCAGTCCACGCCCTGTGGCGGGGTGAGCCGGCCAAATGCGCTTTTTGGCGGGGTAAATATTTCTTATGTAATCTGACTGAGCCGAGCCGGGGATTCTCCGGTGCAGTTGGAGTTTTACCCCGCGGTTCTTGCTCACTAAATTACCCCCAACTTCCTTCATTGTCATGCAAAGAAACCCGCAGACTCCAATAATAATGAAGTTTACGAGAGACTTTAGGCAGCAAAATTCAACATCTTTTGGCTGGAGGGGAAGAGGGTTCCAGTGATTGGGATCAGTCGGACCTCAATGTACGAAAAACTCGAATTCGTAGAGGAACGCTTCTCGCTGATGACAACACGCCTAAGGCAGGGTACATTGATGCAAGGTAATCGGGCCCTAGATCCGAGCTTCGGGTGTCAGCCTCCTATCATAGCCGCAGATACCATAGGATTAGACGGTTTACAACTCCTAGGCCCCTTTTGGTGCTGTATCCCTAAATTCAAATGCCTTCACTGGACATGTTGGGCCGTTGGCTTGCACGAATCAGTCATGACACGAGGTATTTGCGCCGATCCTAGTTGAGAATTCGGAAGCCAAGTGCCTCGAAGTGGCCGTTTTCTCAATTCAAAGTCGTACCAACGTATCAGAGACTATGAAATCCCACTGAAAAATCAGTTTAAGACAGGAATGGCGGTGTAATACAAGAGTTCAGTCGTGCTTGAATAATAGCTGACGCCAGCGTCAGCAAAATCCTCTTCGTGGTCGGCTTGTATAACACCATGTGTGGCTATGTGCTTTTCAATTCGTCCGAATAAGATGGCTTACTAGACGCCGTTTGACATAATGATGTCTATTCTTGCAGCACTAATGTCGCTTTGCTGCCTCCGCGGTCCATCTATCCCCCTCGCCGGCATCTTCATGACTATAAGTAGACGACACTGGCTCCTCTCCCTACCTACTCAACTCCCTATGCATATACTCTTAATCACACTTATAACCTCGTACTCCTTTTCATACTACCTAAGCCCTTGCACTACCAAAGACTCACGACGCGCTTCCCCACTCTTGCCTCGATCACCTCCCTCGCCACTTTCGTCATTGCCAACTCGGTGGATCTCGAAGTCAGAGACAACTGGGCCAAGGTCGTCTCCTTCAGTGACGATCTTTGCAACTCAGACCAAAGCACCTTCGAGGTGACCGGCAGCGGTGCGTACCGATGCATACCTGTAACCAATAAGCGATCCATCAAAGTTCTTCAGAAGAGGTATGTCTATTGATCGCTCCCAACTCAGAAGAAATCCAATCTCCTGCAGTGACTGTACGATGAAGACGTTCGGCGGGTCAAACTGCGGTGGCAGCCACTTTGCCCTTCCCGATGGCGACCTTGACTGCCATTCCGTCTTGCATGCGTCTGTTGAGATCTCGTGTTGAAGACTGGGGTTAAAAGTTGCTCAGTGATGAAAGTCTATTTTTCATGGAATGTGAAGATAGTAGGGAGATATCTGAGGTCAAGGATATACAAGAGAGGAAAAAGACAAAAAAGGGTGACCACCCCGAATCGGAATGCTGTCGCATGATTACCTCAGGAGACTTCACTGATACTCTACCGATCAAGCATTTCGATTGGTGGTCTGTGGCAGGTGAGGTACTGTTGGTCCCTATAGCACCTTCGTGCGTTGAGGATGAGTGAGCCTCCTTGCGGCCGCCTTCGACCTTTGCGGCCGGCCTCTCTGGTCAACCTTTCTGGCAAGCGCCGCGTGTGACTGACTACGATCCTGTACTGTATCATGCTGTTTGAATCTTAATCGTTCTTTGAAGTTGAGCACATACGATAAGTAACGCTTGTTTGGATATAGGTTATAACATGGCTAAGTATGAACCGTATCCCTGACCTAATGACCTTACATTTGAGTGACTGCCAGAGAGCTGGTCTGCTGACCAGTCGACCTCTCTCACGACCATACCAGAGGAAGAGGATGAAGCAGGAGGAACAAATGAATAAGATGGCGGAAAAATGAATGACGGGTCCTTTGAAAAACTTCATGATATGCATCGCATCTCCGCTTGGAGTACAAAGGTAATGTCAAGACTTCAAGATCAATCCTTCCAAGTCAGAGTTTCTTTGCACAACTTGTCTTTCGGTATTGTCATTCCCGTGGTAAAACGTTGAGCAAATTCAGTAACCGTATTGAATCCTTGCGCCTTATGACTTTCTCGACGCCAAGATGATTTGCGAAATTTCTAGACAGCTACGAACTGAAGTGCAGAGTTCGTGTACTCATGTCTATCTGCCTACGTAACATCCGAGGTACTCGTAGTGTTGATTGATAGTAATTTGCTTGTAAGTCAAGGATTCGGCCTCCACTCAAGCTGCCGTATTCCGACTACGCAAAGCAACCCAGCTCTAATTGGTCAATCGTCCAACTGAGACTAACAAGCTGGGCGGAAAGAGGCACATTCGTCCCGTGCCAGCTAAGCTTTTTGGAGCATTAGCGCGGCAGGCTACATCCCCCAATCTCCCAGCTCTGGAACGTCTGTACACGAATACCAGGGCCCAAAAAAAGTTGCACCTTCCACACACACACCTCAGCAGTCCACACTCACCCACCTTCGGAACCAAACAAGCAAGGAAGCTGCATGGCACTTTCCCCCTGTTGCGACTTGCGTGTCTGAGAATCGCCCATTCCAGGCAGTCTCTTCAGGCATTTCTTTCCTTCCAGCAAGAGAAACGCAACGCGGCTGAAGGAACGTACCCTCCCATTCGTCACACACGCGCGGCACAGGTGTCGCCTCACACAACCATGATCCCCAACTTAATCTCATCGACTCCCGCCTGCCCTGCGGCGCAGCAGCTTCCCTCTCCCTCCCTCACAATGCCGTCGTCGTATTCCACGAGCCTTACCTTCGCCGAGCTCGACTGCATTCCTCTCCTCCTTCCGCCTGCGATGCGCTGATTCACAGCTCTCTGAATCTGAAGATGATCGCTATCAATTCCCGTTTGCGAACGATACTCCCCCTCGCTGCTCTCTTCGCCCTAATCCTCGTTCTTGTTCGATTCCATGAAAGCATTATAAATCTCGATTCACTGTATAACCTCGCGAAGCACACGAAGACACCGCCGCCATCTTCGAGTGGCAAGGACAACAAGCAGTCGCTCTCCTCCGAGACCCCAGTATACAAGCCGGCACCGACCTACACCTCGCCCCCGGTAATCGATCCCTTCCCCCTCCTCGCCAACACCGACTCGCCGCCCCCCTCGGTCCCTGCGCATAACGTCCCCCGCGACGACATACACAAAGACTACGGTCTCGACGCGCAACCGCCGCTCTTCATCGGCTTCACCCGCCAGTGGCCCATCCTTCTCCAATGCGTTGTTAGCTACATCACAGCAGGCTGGCCGCCCTCCAGCATCCATGTCCTCGAGAACACGGGCGTCCAGTTCGCCAACGCCCAGGGCAAGCTCTCCCTTCAGAACCAGTTCTACCTGAACCATACGACGCTCAAACGGCTAGGAGTCAACGTCATCCAAGCGCCCGCCCTGCTCTCCTTCTCGCAGATGCAGAACATGTTCCTGCACGAGGCGCACAAGAACAACTGGCCATACTACTTTTACTCTCACCAGGACGTTCTCGTCTTCTCCTTTGAGGACGGCAAGGATGACACTCACCGCCCCGGTGACCGAACATGGGAATTCTACGACGAGGAGGAGCAAAATGAGATCATGAACCCGCCCGCGGCAGGACAGCAGGGGTACCGCACCATATACGAGAACTGCCTGCGCGATCTTGATACCACGCTGAGACGTAAAGAGAAATGGGGGTTCCGGTGGTACCAATATGACCACTTGACCCTGGTGAACCGTGCCGCGATGGACGCCATTGGCGGATGGGACTCGCTGATTCCGTACTACGCGACCGACTGCGACATGAACGCGCGCCTGGCCATGGACGGTTGGACGATGAAACACCGTCGGGCGGGTATCATCAATGATATCTCGACGCACCTCGAGGATCTTTCTGTCTTGTACCGGATTCCGGGGACGGTCCCGAAAATGGTCGACCCAAATCCCCCACCCCCGCCTCCGCCCCCGCCGCCGGCCGAGAAGAAGCCCGAGAACGAGAAGATACAGGGCGACAAGCGAGACGACGAGACCGCGGCGAATGCTACCCTCGTAGACGACAAGGCAGAGTCATTCCGCGCCGTGGTCCAGACGGGCCTGGAAATGACAAACTACAAGTACAGAGACAGCGACCACAACCGCAACTCGTGGCAAAAAAGCCAGCACGGCGGCGAGGGCGAACCGTATTACTACGACGCCGCTGGGTTCGCAGAGGCTTTTGAGGTGCTCGTCGCTGCCGGGCGCCGGGTCTTTGAGCTGAAGTGGGGGCGCGGCGGGTGCGATATCGCCGAGGGGTTCGGGTTGAAGATTACGGACCAGTGGCGCGTATTGCCTCCGGAAAAGAAGGATAGATGAGGATGGGGGTGTGTGTGGCTGAATGGGCATTTTTTGCGCGAGTCACGGCGATGACGTCGGTTTTGGGGGGGATGCGATGTCACTCGTTGGTTTCATGGAGTCGATAATGACTCGTCAGACCACAGACCTGAATCAGTGGTCCAAAGAGCTGGAAAGGAAGTCTGGCGACACAACGTGAATATATTGGAAGGCGTAATAGATTTAGACAAGCACCTGTGAAGCACCATTTCATCGGTTCTCAATAAGGCAAATGAAAGCAATCAGCATGTAATGATATCTTGATATTCAATGGCCAAAGCCATCTATGCGGATAGTTTGTGTAAACGCACTGCAAAGTCCCAGCTCCCGTGACCGGAGAGAAAAACTCTTCTGGCGTTTGATGCCATATGCTACTAATGAACTAGGTAAAAAGGAAAATGAAAAAAACCCAGAAAAAAAGGTTGGATGGGAAACACAGATGAGAAGAATCGTACACACAGTCGGTGCTGCTCTCAAAATGCCCAATCCCTCCTTTGCCCCCAAAAGTACGCCAATATCCCCGTTCTATCTAGGTATCCCAGGGTTTTCGTTTCGGAAATCCAAGTAAAAAAAAGGATTTCAATCAACACACACGCAACGGAGCTTAGCTATCCATCGGCTCCGGTTGGGTTTCAACTTTTTCTTCGGGCCAAAATGCTCTCGCTCTCACTCCTCTTCGTCTCCTTTACACACGTATCGTCAAAAAAACACAAGAAAATAGTAAGGCAAGAGGAACAGTCATCCTTGATGAGAAGGGACTGCTCTATGCCTCGGTAATATTTCTCGCCAGGGCACCACCAGCCTGGATCTCGTTGGGCGCAAACTTGATCCCGCTAGCCGAGGCCGCGATCTGCGACTTGGGTGCGTACGCCGAGGTGGCGGTGCCGCTGCGGAGAACCTCGTCACGGGTGACGCCGAACTTCTCGGGGGACAGGCCCATGGAGCGGAGGAAGTGCACCGTCTCGGTCCACTCTTGGTCCTTGCGCTTGGCGTCCCAGCCGAGTTCCTCGGCCATGACGTCGATCACGCGCGGCAGGGCGCGGAGGGCGGACTCAGCGTCGAGGAAAGCGAGGCGGGTGCGGCGGGAAATAAGGTCCGTTGCCGTGAGGGCGGCCTCGGCGCGGACGCCGTGGCGGATCTCGCCCTCGACGAAGGGGAAGTTGGGGATGATGCGCTCGCGGTCGGCGGGGGTGGTGGCGACGGACCAGGCGCGGTCGCCGTAGTTGTGGGCGAGGTGGTGGGCGACGTCGGCGTCGAGGGCGAAGTGGGTGATGAGGTGGCCGGGGAGGTGCTTTGAGAAGCCGTGGGCGCCGACGAGGGGGATCTTGGTAGTGATGCAGGCGCCGGTCGTGGTGAAGGGTGCGAGGCCTGCGCCGGAGATGTCGGGGAGGGAGACGGGCTTGGGGGCGAGGTTGAAGGTCTTGATGGCTTCGTCGACGGCGTCTTCGGCCATTTGGCGGTAGGTTGTCCACTTGCCGCCGGCGCAGGTGAGGAGGCCGGAGGAGGAGACGGTGACGAGGTGGGAGCGGACGAGGGATTCGGTGTTCTTTGCGTTTGGGTCCTTGACCAGGGGGCGGATTCCTTGCATGAGATGTTAGTTTCTTGGTCCTGGCCTGAGAGCGATATCGGAGGGAGGGGGAGGGAATGAGAGGAAAGCTTACCAGACCAGGCAGAGAGAACATCGGCACGGGACAGGGCGGACTCGGGGGTAATCAGCTTGTTGACCTCCTTGAGAATGAACTTGATGTCGTCCTCGCGGGCAATGGGCTCGCGCTCGACGGGGGCAGCGTTATCCGTGGTTCCAGCCAGAGTGTATCCTTGCCAGGGCAGAACAAAAATGACACGACCGTCCGAGGTAGCAGCATCCAATAGACCGATTCCGTTGGGGCAGATGTCGCCAGGCAGCATAATGTGCGCACCAGAGGCAGGGGCGACGATGGGCTTGCGGTCCGGGTTGTCCATGCACTCGATTGCGTCGGCAAAAGGGCCGGTAGCGTTGATGACGCCCTTTGCGCGGACGGTGAAGGGGGCGCTGCCGGGGTTCTTGACGTCGCGGACTTGGGCGCCCGTGATCTTGCCGGTGGAGGAGTTCTTTTCCAGAGAGGTGACTTCGACATGGTTGAGGACGGTGGCGCCGTAGAAGGCGGCGGTGAGGGCGAGAGAGACGTTCATGCGGGAGTCGTTGTGCTGGCCGTCATAGTAGACGAGGGCACCGACCATGTTATCCTTTCTGAGCTTGGGGAAGGCCTCCATGGCCTTCTTGGTGGAGACGTAGTAGGAGCTCTCGAGACCCTGGGAACCGGCGAGGAGATCGTAGGCCTTTGTGCCGGCCCAGAAGTAAGGAGTCTGCCACCACTTCTGGATGGGCAGGAGAATAGGCAGGGAAGAGGACAGGTGCGGGGCGACGTTGAGGAAGGTCTTGCGCTCGTGAAGGGCCTCCATGACGAGCTCGAGCTGGGAGTAGTCGAGGTTCCAGACGGCCTTTTCGAGGTAGCGGACACCGCCATGAACGAGCTTGGTGCTCTTGGACGAGGTTCCAGCAGAGAAGTCGTCGCGCTCGACGAGGGCGACCTTGAGGCCGCGGGTGACGGCGTCGAGAGCGATGCCGGTTCCCGTGGCGCCGCCGCCGATGACAAGGAGGTCGTATTCTTGGGCATCGGAGTTGTGAGCGCGCAGGTCGGCCAGCTGTGAGGCGCGGTCCTTTGCCGCGGGGAATGAAGGCGGGACGATCTTGCCCTGGTCATCGCGCTTGAGCTCGACGAGGGCCTTGTCGAAGTTGTGAGCGCCGCGGCCACTGAGGAAGGTTGAGTAGGCGACGACACCACCAGTTGCCGCGGCGGCAGCGATGGCGACGGGCCTTCTCAGGCTCGAGAAACGAGACGCCATGCTGGCGGGTGTTTCTTGTGTGTGTGTTTTCTTGTGATCTTTTCACTCGGTGAGGTTTAGACCGAGTCCGAGAAGGACGGGACGATGACGGTGGAAGGCGCGTCTGGTATAGGTGACCAGTCCGGGCGTGTAGGGTGTGGGATGCCCTTTTGGTGAATGCTTTCCCTCAATGGTGATGTGTTAGGAGGGGGAGGGGTTCACAGGTTGATGATCCTGGGAAGAATCAGGAAGGTGAAGGTAGGGGAAAAGAAGTAAGAATAAGAGAGGTAGGAAGAGGAAGAAAAGGCTCAAGGGCTTAAGAGGGACCGAAGGGGTTGAGGATTGTCGATCGGTAGATGACCCAAGTGAGTGGGTAGATTCCGGGTGGCAGAAGAGCAGGAAGCTGTGCTTGTCCGGGCTGGGCCGCCTCACCCGCGAAGTATGGACTGTTATTCGTGGAATGACACCCCGAGCTCGAGAAGGAATGGTCCCGTTTGGCGCGAGCAAAAATCTTCCGTTGGACTGACTGGGCAGGGCGGAAGGGCAGGGGATGTGGGTATCAGAGATGGGAGAGAGGGCGACCTGATGTGAGGAAAATAAAAAAACAATAACGAAACTTGAGCCCGGCAGAAAGAGGCTAAAAGTAGATCGGGGGTGGAGGGGGGTACGAAGATACCTTGTGATGACGGAGATCGGGGGATGGATGGACGGACGGGGGGTCAGACGGAGAGAGAGACATGCAGCTTTGGCCGGTAGCGATGGATGGAACACACGGACAAAGCGATGAGGATGCCAGCTCAGACACAGCTCTTGCTTGGTGTTCGCAAGGTATTATCGCTCGCCATTGCCAATTGGACCTTGACCCCCACGTGGTCGCAGGCGCGTCTGCGGTATGGCAGCATGGCTCATCTTGAGACTTTTTTTGCTGATACCTTGTCTGTCCTGACCACCATGCCTGCGTTTGCTACTTTGTGCTACCTTATGCCACATCACTGCATGCTATCATCTATCGCAGCTTCATCAGCCATGTAGCTACACAGTAGGTACGTTGTGGTGAATGGTGGCAATGGCAGTGGTGAAGGGCAGTGGTGAAGGGCAAACGGTCTCCGGAAGCAGCAGCAGCAATGCACTCGAGTCGGGGTCTGACATCATGGGTACCGAGCTCACTCCGAGCTAGCAATTAGCAAGCAGCAACAGCACCCCAACACTGGCTGAGTGACTGAGCAGAGTCAGGACATGCAGTGAACCGGAGTGAGTGAGAGACGGGAAAAGACCCGCTTCTCGTTCGTCATGTCGGTAACGGCGCAGGATCCAGTATGGAGAAATGAATGGGGAAAAGGCACGCAAATCTGGAGGTGGGAAAGAGACGTCGGTGCCATCCCATCCGTATACGTAGATGGATCCGTAATTGTATGGTGTTTCCAGTCAGAGCCTCAAATATGCCACCAGGGGTCTGTCTGCACCTCGGTGTCGACTGGCCGAGATGGTGACATGTTTTCGGTATTCTCTCGGTGCTGATGTTACATGGAGCAGTGTGCCCCCTGTCTCGGTGGTCTCGGTTGACATCGCCGACCACTGAAGAAGAATTGGAGAAGGTGCGGCCCAGGTTCCCAGAGAAAGGAAGGAAGGGTCCCGCTAAGAACTGGAAAGTGCAGGTGGGGTCACAGATTTGGAGACCTTCCGTCAGCTGGAGGGAAGGCTCCACTGGACCTTGAGGTTCGCAATGATCGGCGGGATCCTCCGGCCGAAAAGTACGTCCTCTTCCACTTTAGCCCCTGCTTCCAGCCCTGACCCTCTTTTCCCGTGCCACACGTGCCTTCTCCTCTTTTCGGTTTACCACCAACACCACCACCACCACCAGTCTCCACTTCAGCAGTGCCAGACGGCGACACTGCGGCCTCGACTCTCGCTCGTCCTCGGTGTTGCATTCCCGTCACTCACCACATCCACATCGCAGACCTGGACCACCACCACCGTCCAATACTACTGGGCAGTGCTCCATAGTCCAATCCAATCACGCTCACTGCAGAATCAACAGCAAGGCACAGTCACTCGCCTGCTGGATCTCGAGACACGCATTGCATGCCCTGCGGATGCCTCACTCAGTCACCCAGTCACCCAGTAGTAACAATCACCACTGCCAAACGGCGACTACACGGCGACCACCAATCGGCCCGGCGAATGGCCCGCGACTGATGTCTCCTCGTCGACCCTCCCCAACGTCTCCATCAGTGTCCATCGTGGGATGTTTGCCCACACAGCGCCACGCCATACTGCCGCTAACTACCCTTATCCTTTGCAATCCTCACATGTCGGCCCTTATACAGGGGCCTGATTACTATGGATCTCGCCTCACTTCTCAACTTGAGGCCCGATTGTGAGGCTTGCCCAACAGCCCAAGGGGCATCAACCAGCCAAACAATTTCTTCCAGGGCGGATTTCTGCTTCATCTTAAGAACCAGATGCCGTCCTCTTCTATCCATCCATAGATAGTACTGCGGACCGTTTTTGGTTCCCGGCCACGGGACGCTGCATTACACAGACGCCGCGCCATTTTGGTGACCGAACTATCGGGATTCACAGCCAACAAACGCCGTACAGTCGAACCTGTCTTCGTTGCCTTTTTTTATTTTTTTTTATTTTTTTTTAACCTACATATCATCGACTAGCCCACCCACCATGGCATCGCTTACACTACGCACGATATACTGCCACCACTCGCCAAGCTATCCAAGTCAGCAAAACCTGCCTCCAGTCTGCCGACTCTTCCCTCCAGACCCAGCAATTTCCGCAACTCTTTACCATCATCGATCACGCGCAAAACCCCTACGCAGTGCAGCGGCCGACGTCCGAGCTTGACTGACAAGTCACTCTACCTCTGCCATGTACCTCGACCTACTCTTGTATGGGTACTTGGGGAGTGTCCGGACACGAACCCCTCCTGGGATACGACTGCGGTAGGGACACCGTTGTCGCACCCGCACCGCATCCGCACGCCGCAGGGCACACGCCCGCCGTCCACTCCTCCGTGGCCGCTACCAAGTTTCTTCGCTGCACATCCCTCGGCCGTCACGGCCACGCCGCAGTGCCACGCCGAACATTCCGCGCCGCCCCCTGCAACTCGCGTGCGAAAAAGTGGGAGGAAGCAAGTTGAGGTGGCACACGGGTTGAATTGCTGCCAATCCACAACCACTTCGCAACTCGGCTCCCCTACCCACGCAAACGGTCACGATACAGTCAGTTTTCTTGCTGCGCTGCCAGATGATGCGATGGGCCAGCTTTGGTCCGCCAACCTGTCCAAGTGCTGCGTATCAGGTCCCTGTCTACGACAGCCACACAACCCAGCTCGAAATAGTCCTTCACCCCCCCAGTTGACTTACACCCAAACGCAGGTCAATCCATCACCATGTCCTCGTTTGATGACCTTGATTTGCGCCTACATTTTGAAACTCGCAGGTTGCAGCTGCGCCCCACGGCACGTTCGCAGCCAGAGTACCAATCTTAGCACTACGACAAGTATCGCACCCAGAGTTCGTCGTCTCGCGCTACCGAACCCTCTAGCCAATCTGAGTAAGATGGACCAGGTCCCAGGGTGCAACTCGACAGCGACGTTTCCTGCACGTCCACTAGCTCTTGGCTGTTTCTACCCCGCGCTTCCAGACGAAGCACCAGCCAGACACAACCTTATCTCACGACGGGCAACGTTCGCCGGGCCACTGAAGAAGGGCCATCGATCGGAGACAGCTGTATTACGAGTCAGCTTCGCTCAGAGTTCGAAGCCATCGGCCTCTCATCGATGAAAGCACGATCTCCAAGTTACTATACGCAACGGGAACAATACGGGCCATCGTCAGACACACTTACACGCAACGTCCGTTGCGGGTGCAAGATGCCCATGGGGACCACCCATTTCCCCAAGCTGGGGTCGAGACGGAGCATGACCCGGGCTCCAGTCGGTCTTGATACTGCAATTGCTACCCGAGTCTACGAACTATTGGATTCCAGACATTCCAAAAGAGAATGTGCAACCGCGGACCCAGACATTCGGGGTCGCTGTCAGGGTCAATCTCAACCTTTGAGGCCTCTGAGAGGTCAGAGGCGGGGCTACATTCACGATTCACCACACCAAAACCCCAGTCTCCCCAACAAGATGCAAGCCCACGCCATCATGGATTACATGCAAAGTGCGAGCATTTTGTTGGTCTGGATTCTTTTGGACTGGTGGTGGTTCAGCTTTGCTGCACTGGAGATTCGGAAGCGATTCCAGTTCCCAGCGGCGTGGGCAGGTCCCTTCCCGCTAGCCAAGTTGGCGGCGTTAGGCCCCCGTAATTTGGGCCCATGTCTCTGAGCAAAAACCCCCGACTTGACGGAAGAATTGTTCACCTGGCCCGCCCTCGGGGCAATCGTGCCAATCTTCCAGCGAAGGTGGCTTTTTTTCTCGTCTCCAAGGGTCTCCTTCACGAACATACTAATTGCTGGCCATGGGCGCACATCGTAGTTGAGAAAGAGGATTGTCTTTGCCTCTTGATGGCACTCTTTTCTCTCGTGTATTGCGTAGTCACCAAGGGGAAACATTCTTTGAACTCTGAAAATGACTTTGTGATTTGAAGACAAGACACCGCTAATCCAACCCACCACGCCAATAAGCAAGCAACATCACCAGCACCTCAGCACCCAACAGGACAACAAGCAAGGCAAAAAGCCAAGAAACAGGAACGACGGAATGCAGCTGCAAACAAGCTCATGATAAACGATTTTTCGCCCGTGTTCGCTTTTTTGGGGTGTTGAGACCGTAAGACAGACCCATCCTTTTTGTGTTTCTTATTGTTTTTCCCTTTCTGTTTTTCCTCAACTTGAGAAACGCATAACTGCGCTGGATCAAGTCGAGAGGTTGTCTCGTTGAAGGCAGGAGGGGGACCTTCGAGTCGATCGCTCGGCCGTCCCAGTCTCTCATTTCTCTCTCCTCTCTCGTTATCCGAAACCCGTGGTATCATTGTCTGCCAGTTTCTTTGCCTTTCTCACTCTCGCACACTCATAAGAGATCGTCGTGGAGGTCGTCGTCGTTCTCATGAAGATGGACCGAATCCTCACGATATGATCCCGGTGTCAATCTCATCATCACTCATCAAGATGAAAACAACATCTCTCTCTCTCACTTTCTCATCATCAAAAACGCACAAATCGGACACTACGTGAAGCGAGGACACTGTCTACACCTTCTCCAAGCGGTTCTTGTAGGTGTTGGACCAGACGTCCCGGCGCGGGCGGAAGAGTCGGGTGAGGCCAAAGTAGGGCGTGTTGATGGGACTCTCGCCGGTGAAGATGAAGACGTCGTACAGGAAGCCGCCAAAGAGGGTGCCGAAGAAGGGGGCGACCATGGGGATCTGCGGAGATGGAATGTTAGTCACGAGACTTCAGAACAGGATGTGAGGTGAGGGATTCGCCACTCGGAAGGACGACGTCGGCCGAGGGCCACAAGACTAGCGCATACAGCGACGACGACGACGAAAAACCCCGAGCCCCATCAGAAGATAGGGGGGAGACCGAGGCAGGCAGGAAAGGAATTTTCTTGCTGCTTACCCAGAAATAGTATCCACCGGCGGACCACACTTCAGACCCGTATCCGAGAATGTACGAAACCAGGCGGGGACCAAAGTCACGAGCCAGGTTGATGGCGTAGCCAGTCTCCCAACCGAAGCAAGCACCGATGCCGAAAATGAGGAAGAAGAGGGCCAAGGGCATAAAGGGGCCCGCAGCTCCGTTGGTGGGATCGGCGAGGGCGAAAATGGAGAACATGAGAATGGTGGAGGCGACGATTTCCGAAAAGAACATGCCCGTCCGCGTCATGAAGGCGGCCGGGTACGTGCAAAAGATGCCGGCGGTCGAGTTGGCGCCGCCGACGGTGCGGATGCCCGGGCCGCCCTCAAAGGCGTCGATGGCACTGATGTAGTTTCCGTACACGATGAAGGCGCCGGCCATGGCGCCCAGGAGCTGGCCCATGAAGTAGACGGGGAACTTGCGCCACGGGTGGCCGCGGTACACGCAGTTGGCGAGTGTCACTGCCGGGTTGAGATGACCACCGGATTTCTTGCCCACGTAGACACCGAGCATAACTGCCAATCTATGAAGCAATGAGTTAGTTGATTCATTCTCATCTTTTCTCTCGTTTCTGTGCTCGACTTCCGCCGAGACTCTCGTTTCATTCAAGATTGCGCAAGCCGAAAAAGCCACGCACTCGTGAAGTGAAGTCGGAACACTGGGAAGGATCGAAACTTACCCCCAACCCCAAGAGATACTCTGGTAATCACCCTTGGTGCTGTTGCTAAGAACGACCTGGGCAACGACACCGTCGCCAAAGAGGATCATAATCATGGTTCCAAAGAACTCGGAGAAACCCTCCTGACAGTTCTCACGGATACGCGACCACCACAGCTGCTCCTCCTCATGGTGAGGAGGGAGCATGCTGCCAACGGCGTGCTCCTCGTGGGTCTCTTCGCCTCCCATGTCGTGTTTATAAGTTGGAATATGCTGCTTGCCGACGGACGACGACTCTGACACCGATTCCGCTGTATGGACAGTGATGACCATTAGAACCTCGATACGATAACGTTTACGATTTCTCTCGAAGGGACGAAGGGGCTCGAGGGTGGTGAGATGGATGGATGGATGAGGAGTGAGAAGGACTTTGAGAAGGAGAGGAGATGGAGAAGGAGAGAAGATAAGAAACGCGGGGACGGTGAGATGAAGATGAGATGAAGAGATGGACGAAGGTCTGGCCAAGGTATCATCCCACGTCCATCCCATGGGGAAGCAGCATCTTCTTATGGTCCCCACGGGCTCGTGGTGTTCCCACGGGGCTGGACACCGTTGCAACCAATCCACCGGGTTTGGCAGTCATTCTTTGGGGAAAAGAGGAGAGAGGGATGGTTGGATGGACACATTGAGATGGGGCGGGGTGTTGATACTGGGGGAGTGAGGAGTGGGCAGTGGAAGTGGGAGGGGGTTTAGGTCTAGGGGGGCGTATACGGTATCGCCAAACGGAAATCATGGACGCTTACCCATCTTTGGTCACTTTGCAGATAAGTTGTATGCTTGATTTGACTCTTCTTCTTCTTTTTTTTTCCTTCGGTCTCCCTTCAGCGGGTTAGGGGTGTTGCGAATGTGGATCTGTTGTACCGAGATCACTGATCAAGTAGACTGATTTTCTTCCGGGATCCCACGACGCTTAGGATCACCACGACCTGCGCGCGGCGGTGACTGATACGAGATTGGTTCGAAATCCTTGAAATGGCTTCCACAATTCCGGATATCTGGGATCACCGACAGTTCGGGTCCTTGGATGAACAGCCTCGGTGATACGAAAAGGAAAAAAACGAAGAGCAAAAGTTCGACAATTGTTCCTAAACGGGATTCGTGCGTTACGGGTCTCGCGGAGAGATGGAGATTGGCACGCGGGATGAGGATACCGAGGGGACTTGACGATGGACGACGCTATGGGATGGGTTGGTCAAGCGGAGGAGTGAGAAAAAATCGAACGATGTGGGCGGGTGAGATGAAAGTCGCTCAGTTTGTGCGTGTGTCCAGGTCGGTCAAGTGTGTGTATGTGAGAGGGAGAAAAAAAGAGAGAGAGAAGGAAGATGGCACGAAGGTGGGACAAGGGGATATGATGCAGTTCGGTGGCTCACACCGAAGTTGAAGCGATTTGGCGGCCGAGATGGACGAGACGTTGTCGCCGGACGGCGGCCGAGGCTTTGATGAAGAGGAATTCTGGACCTATGCTGGCTTTGGTGTACTTGGGTGGTGCTTCTCACTCCCGTCTTTCGTCTTGGCCTTGTCCACCCCGCTCATTAAGGAGGGACCCCCTTCTCCGGGTTTGCGCCAAGGCAGATGTGGTGTGCGCGCCGAACGGATCAGGAAGAGGATGTACGGATACTATCTGCGGCTTCGTGGGTAAGGAGACAGGACGCACAAGGTTGCGCAATGTAGAGGTACGGAAACGACGAATCTACTCCACTCGCGCCACTAATAGGCTTCACTTCCCGGCAAGGAGAATGTGTGTGTGAGAGAAATGCGCGCCAGGGCCCAGGAGAAGGACTAATGCCCTTTGCAACCTCGCATGGGATGAAATATGTGGTTCCTCAGAGGTAAGCTTCTGGGGCAGGTTCCCACGTGTGGAGAGGGGCGACGGATGCCAATGGTGACTGTACGGAGTACAGATACTCTGTGAGAGAGGGCGGAGTTGTTGTACAAGTTGCTGTACGAGTGAAGAGGCGCGCGTGAGGTTGAAGGATGTGGGATTGAGTACGTAGTAAGAGGCACGAGGGTAAAAAAGAAGAGGGGACTTCTTTCTTTGGCCTGTTGCAAGGAGGCTGGAGTGATCGCGTGGTGGACTGGACGGGTGGACTTGAGGTAAGTTTTCGGTGCGTCTTCCGAACCAAGGACCCAGTTTGAATGAATCCTTCCTAATCGTCGTCAAAAGTATAGAGACGGGTGTGACGGGGAAAGCGAATAAAAAAAGTTGATTACGCGGGGCCAAGTCGTCGTATGCAGCAACTCAATTCTCTTGCTTGTTTCCAGTCAGTCAGCTTTTCCCCAAACTTTGTCCAGTTACAAACCAGAATCTGGGGGAGATCGGGGGTGAGACCTACGCTTGCTACGGTACGACTACCTTGCAAAGGAAGAATGTACTGAAAGTCTCATGACCTGCCAGTGCCACAGCTTGTCGTCCTTGCTCCCTGGTTTGCCGATTGATTAAAGCCGAGTTTGAACTCTGACTGATCAGATCGGAAGATTGCCTCTTCCATGATGCATCCCTGAAGCCATCTGGGGCTCGGGCGATGGACGCCAAGGGTCCATTGAGAGGTGGTGGAGCCGCTCCATCGTCCACGGACCAAATCTGACAGTGACGAGCGCGGGCGAGCCACACCACACCAAAACTATGTAACCAGCCGCGGCAAAAACGTCATACACGAAGGGTACGCCTATCATCATTGGCGTGTGATGGTGCGCGCGGCGTTCCGTGGTGTCGACCGAAGGCAGAGAAGAGACGGACTACTTCCCGTTGAAACCCATTTGCGGCTCATTTTTTTTTCTCCCCTGTCTCTCATTATCTCTCGTTCATCGCCGGCCAAGGTTCAAGCGTTTCTTCCAATGACGTTAGCCGTCCACAACCAAATGTGGAAAAGGCGACAAGCAAGAGAGAAAAAACTCTACACGGCGAGCCGGCGAGCCGAGGCCACCATGAGCCCTCTTCTCTCCTCGGTAGCACTGGCAGACCACATATGTCTTTCCGTTGGTCCCATCTCTGCCATTCCTCCAGCCTCTAGGCAAACCAATTCCGTCCAAAAGCTCCAGCTGGTCCCAAGCAAGCCGGGCCCGGCGTTGTTCTTGGTCTGCTTCGTAACGGGACTTTCGCCTCTTTCCCCGCAGTTGGTTACTCGAAATTGGACAAATGAGATGAAAGGTGGGAGGGCGGGTGCAACGTAGTGGAGGGGAACCAGGTCAGCGATGTGAACAATGGTTTGTCGGTCTTGTCCCGTTTCTGACAAGACGATGAGCGCGATGGTCGGGCAGGGGGTGTCAATGGTGTTCTTTTCGAAACGCATGCAGGCCGGCAAATGATTTGGAGCAATTGCCTATGGGTTCATGGCCCATGGGGGAAGAGGTTTCTGCCATTGCTGGATAGGCAATACCTAGCCATTCGGCATGGCCCAGAAAGAGAAGACTCTCTTGACTCTTTGGACCACGTATCCGCAAGAGTCCAGACTCTTGATCGGAATGACTGGCAGATTAGTCTGTTGGTTCGTTCGTTCGTTCGGCCACTGCTTCTAGCGTTGGCGTTGGAATCTCGTCGCAATTGTCGCCTGTGGTTGGTCGGTCGCCCGCGGCGCCGAATCCCATTTGCCGCTGAATATGGCCCTTTAAGACAACGAACATGGACATGCCCTGGTGCCCTCGTTGGAATGGGGTCGCAAAGATCCCCCCCGGCCCGGCGTCCTTGCCTTTTCCATGCTGAAAATGTGTCACCTGTTCGTGTGCGCAAAATAGCATCAGCAGCAACTAGCAGCAGAACCAGTAGCAAACGCCAAAGGAGAAAAAAGACCCAGCCAGCAAACCAGAGGCGCAGGCACCGCACGCGGGCGCGGAGGTGGCCGCTGCATCCTCCTCCCGTCCCAGCTCTAGCCCATGTAGGCAAGGCCACCAGCCCATCTACTTTTCTGCTCGACCAGTGACCTGCATGCCTGCCAAGGTGCTTGGTCTAGTTCGTAGAGAAACTCGACGACTCAAGGTAGCTTGCCATCTTTGCTCGTAGTCGACCCCGCTTTCTGGGGCGAGCCTCGGGCCACCGGTGCTTCATAAAGAGATAAAAGCCCGGCATACGGCCGGACCCACCGATGCCTCCGTGGGAGCTCGCCGACGCAGACCGAAACTGCTGCTGTTGCAGTGCGACCTGGAATGACATCAGCCCCATCACGAGGTGATCCGGCCCCCGTCCTCCTCCACTTTTGCTCGCTGCTCACGGCCGACGTTGCTTGCCAATGTCGAACAATGACCGAAGTAACTCGGGGCATCCACCCCGAAACATTTCTCCCCCAACTTTCTCGCATGCCTACTCCCGAGTCCGTACGAATACCTATCAAGTTACCAACAACCTAAATGGCTAGTATGCCAGTCAGCTGTCAAGGTAGTCAGTCTACTATGGATACCCGTGTAGACCAACAAGTACCTACACGCCCATGGTATCTATACGTATAGCCTCGTTCGATACCGAAGCAGTGGTACGCAGACAGATAGACTGACAGACCGACCGGTTGCTTGCATCTCTCGTTCCGGCTTCTCGCGTGGAAGGATTCGCCGGCCTGTCAGATTCTTTAGACTGCTTCCAACGCAACCCCGTTCGATCCGTTCGCATTTCCCCAGTGGGGATTGGTCTTGGATCCGGGGACCCCCCCTTTGACAGTCCAGCGGTTTTTTTTTTTCTCTTGACCCAAGCCCAGCTCCTTGGTGCTCATCTCGTGACATCTCCACACGATCTGGGGATGGGGTAAGAGAGATGCATGGAAATGAGGGGTAGCTCTCGAAGAAAGCTGTTTGTTCCCCATGGAGGGAGCTAACCCGACACGCCGCGTGCCCTTTTGCGTTGCGCTTCCGAGAACTGGAGCTGGCTGCTTGCTGCTGGCTGCTGAAGAGCTGAGAGTTTCCCACATGCGCGGCACCTACAAATATTTTTGTCAGCCCGTGAAACTTTAGGCTTTTGTCGTGTGTCTCTCTCACTCCCTTCTCTTCATCCCGTCCAGCAAGATACCCAAAATCGTCCGTCCCTTTCTCTTCTCTGCCGCTGCCGCGCCACACCGTTGCCGTCTTTGAATGCTATCGTCTCTTCTCCCCAGTCGATTTAAACAAACTTCAGACAAAATGTCTCCCACTTCCGTAAACGGGGGTGCTGGCTCCAAGATCTCCTTTGTTGGTGCCATTGACCAGGGCACCACGAGCACCCGCTTCCTCATCTTCAACCCCCACGGTGAGGTCGTTGCTACTCACCAGCTCGAGTTCAAGCAGATCTACCCTAACCCAGGGTAAGTCGTTCTTCCTATGTGACCACTACTGGCGCATGAAAAGTATTACGCAGAGTGAGAAATTAATCCATTTGCGACAGCTGGCACGAGCATGACCCCGAGGAGCTCGTTGCTTCCGTCGAGACGTGCATTGACGGCGCCGTCCAGGCTTTCGAGACTCAGGGCCACTCCCGCGAGCAGATCAAGGCTGTCGGCATCACCAACCAGAGAGAGACCACCGTCCTTTGGGATACGACCACCGGCAAGGCTCTGTACAATGCCATCGTCTGGACCGACACCCGCACCAAGGATCTCGTTCGCCGTCTGAAGCAGCGTCTCGGCGCAAGCGAGCTTACCCAGCGATGCGGTCTTCCCCTCTCCACATATCCCTCCGTCGGCAAGCTCCTTTGGCTTCTGGAGAACAGCCCTGAGGTCAAGGATGCTTACGAGCGTGGTGTTCTGGCCTTTGGTACCATTGACACCTGGTTGGTCTACAAGCTGAACGGCGGTACTGCCCGCGACGTTTACGTCTCGGATCCCTCCAACGCCTCCCGTACCATGTTCATGAACATTCACACTTTGAAATATGACGAGGACCTCATTGATTGGTTCAGAATCGACCCCAAGAAGGTCAAGCTGGCAAAGATTGTCCGTTCTTCCGACCCCGAGGCGTATGGTACGCTCCACAACACCGTTCTTAGCGGTACCAAGATCACCGGTTGCTTGGGTGATCAGTCCGCTGCTCTAGTCGGTCAGAAGGGCTTCACGGCTGGTCTCGCAAAGAACACGTATGGCACGGGTTGCTTCTTGCTCTACAATATCGGGCCCAAGCCCGTCATCTCATCCCACGGTCTCTTGACCACTGTCGCTTTCGACTTCGGCCCTGGCAAGACCATGTACGCTCTCGAGGGTTCCATTGCTGTTGCTGGATCCAGTGTCAAGTTCCTGGTCGACAACTTTGGCTTCATGGAGTCTTCCTCCAAGCTCAGCGCACTCGCCGAGACGGTTGAGGACAACGGTGGTTGCACCTTCGTCACTGCCTTCAGTGGACTCTTTGCGCCTTACTGGATCGATGATGCCCGTGGTACCATCTTCGGTATCACCGCCTACACCCAGCGTGGCCACATCGCCCGCGCCACCCTTGAGGCCACCTGCTTCCAGACCAAAGCCATTTTGGACTCCATGGAGAAGGACAGCGGTGCAGCCCTGACTGAGCTCGCCGTTGACGGTGGCATGTGCAACTCCGATCTCGTCATGCAGGTAAGAATAGAACCCCCGGACCTTTTCCGAGCCTCGGGCGGAGAAATCAAGCTGACCCATGTACTCCGTAATAGACCCAGTCCGACATCATTGGCATCCCTGTCAACCGCCCAGGCATGCGCGAGACCACTGCCCTCGGCGCGGCCATCGCGGCAGGCTTCGCTGCAGGCGTCTGGAAGAGCTTTGACGAATTGAAGGACGTCAACCTTGAGGGCCGCACCATCTTCAAGCCCCAGATCTCCGAAGAAGATGCCTCTGAGCGCTTCGGCCGCTGGGAGAAGGCTGTCCAGATGAGCAAGGGCTGGTCGAGCTGAGCGGGTTTTGCTTGGGAGTTCTTCACGTGATAATGTCTTCTTTTTTTTTTCGTTTCGATATACCACAGTCTGTTGTTTGGGAGGTCCATTCACAATGGGCGCACGCACATGCGATCCGGCGCCGTTTGGAGAGAAAAATCCAATCTGTATCATAGGTAGCACGGCATTATGACGCATTTTGCCTCTGTCGGAAACTCGATTTTGTGCGCCAGAAGCTGGTTCGTTTGCCCTGTTCACCGATGCAAGTCTTTGTAAGAGCGCCAAGTCGACGGCTCCAGGGAAAGCCGCGGTCGCAATGCTGTCTCGACCCGTCCCCACGTGCGCATGTTCCTTGTAAAATCCGGATGATCGGAGTGTAAATCGTCGTCCATGACCCCGTTCAAACTGAGTCGTGAAGCAGGCAGGAGCGGAATGCAGTGACTTCATCGCGATCCTCAGCCTGCTGCGCGGCCTTGTTCCGGGGGGGTATTGGCAAAAAGGACCCTCCTCTTGTTATGGGCGTTGTTAGTTGTAGGCTTGTAGCCTACCTGTCAGCCACCCGGTGACTACTGCTTCTGGGGCCTGTGGAAGAAGACATCGTCAAAGCCACTGCCGTTTACCCCCACCTTTGACGGTTGCATCGCCCCATGGATGATCCTCGCGGTAGCAGGCTTGACAGGGGAACCATAAGGAGCGGGGGAGAGAGAGTTCGGAGTGGCCGGGGTGCGGCGCTGTTTGCCGTATGGAAGGGGGGTTTTCGGCAGCAAACTTGGAGAAGAAAATTGAGGGGAACTGTCTAACAGAGGCAGCGCGGTTCCTGCATGTCTTGCGGTAGTCTGTATTAGCACCGTTGTTCCGTCGTAGTGACCAGCGTGTCAGTGTCATGCCTGGTGGCTTCGGAGATGGCTCTGGTTATCGTAATCGCCCCCAAGGGTTCATCATTGGGCGCAACGATCTCCCCTCACCCGTTCCGTCCATCCCATGCCATGGGCGGATGCTGTGTGTAACGAGTTTCCGGGAAAACGAGCATGCCGGGCGCAAGTGGTTGGTTGGTTGGTGCGCATTGGCGGCACGGAGGAGTCTTCATTTCTGGTACCGTACACGGTTCCGTCGTCTTCCGCAGTCTTTGTATGTAATATGTACACTCTTTCTGTCACGGTATTAGTTGGCAGCGCAGACAGACAGGACGGTCAGACCGCGTAAAGTAAGGGACAGTGACAGAGTTGCGCAAGAGATCCAACTCTTATTGTGGACGAGAGTGGGCCGACGACTGGATCTCTCTTTTTTTTCTGCCCTCCGTGCCAGCCATCTCTTCAAATGGCTTGTCGGGAGAGAACACCGAAGGACCCCGTCCCCCTCTCACACTTGGTCAGACTCAGACACTCGAGCGCTTGCTGACAAAGTCCCTCATCGCGGCCTTGGCTTCCCGAGTCTTTTCCACCTAGTCGACTAGTCAGTCCTTTTTGCCTCTCGCTGAAGACTCGGTGCTTGTCTTCTATCTCTCTCCACTTGTTCCTTCGACTTGCAGACTGCACTCTGCGGGTTCGAGCACAACACAAACTGGGTGGACTGACTGACACTGCAGCGCCTGCAGAGCTGACACCAGCACTGTTCGGTACACACACAGACGGTACAGAGGCTCTCTCCTGGATTCGGCTGCCCACGTTTCGCCCATCGACCCGGCCAACCAACGCGGACAAGGCCGGATATGCCCCATGCGCCCCAAGGTGCTGCGGTGCAATCCTTCACTCCCTCCAGCATCCCGGCCGGCTGAGGCAATTCGCTAGCCTGCCTTTTACTACTTGCTGCACGCCCGCTCATGAGTGAAATGACCACTTCCTGATATCAAATTCGGCCAGGCTCCTCACGGCTCCATCCAAAAAGGGTCCTGATAAGAGCAACACCTTCGCAACCCATCAAAGTAAAAACGGGAAATGTGGAGTTCCCACGACCATGGGACAGATATGCTAGACACGAATGCACGTCCGCAACAAATGGCCGAGGAGGAAGCGAACTCGGTGTTCAGCCACGACGAGGGCTCAAGTGGTGAAGACACGACAAACAATGGCTCGGCCGGTGCACCGAGGAAGCGTAAGAGGGAGAAGCACCAAAAGACATCGTATGTTGTGCGCTTCTGATTGTGTGGCCCCCCAAATGAGATGCATGGCCATCGACTGACGCGAATCCAGATGCGAACTATGCAAGGCGAGGAAGGTCAAGTGCGATCGTGCAGAGCCCGCATGTTCTTGGTGTGCCCGTCACAACCGAACATGCGTCTATCTAGAAAGGCAGAAGCCGGGTAGCCGTATCGGTTTCAGTCTCGAACTTGAAGCCAAGGTTAACAGGCTCGATGCTCTCTTGCAGGCTCTTGGTCGTCGTGTAGAAGATCACATCGCCCATGATCACGTCGCCACATCACAGGCTCATTCGCCATCCATCAGCAATCAGGCGCCATCACAAATCGAGGGATTCCGTCCTGATGGAAATGCGAATGGCGTCAGTCCGGCTCCGGGCCTTCCAAGAGGGCCACCAACCACGAATGGGAGAACACCAGCCTTCTCGAGCCCTTTCTGGCAGGGCGGTGACGCCCAAGAGACGTTACAGAATGGTGACCGGACTTCAGTTCAGGCTCTCTTGAACCTATCCGCAGGCGAGTCTTTCAGCCAAGCAGGCGCATCGCCGAGCGTCAACGGGCCTCGAAAAGATGCACACTCAGTCCCGACTGTCTCTGAGTTCCCGCCTCACGACATGCTGTACACGCTTGTCGACCTATACTTCAAACACTGCAACACGTGGTGTCCGATCTTGGACCGCAAAACGACCTTCGGTGCCTTTTTTGGTTCGACGTCCCTCAACGAAGCCGATCGTGTTTTGTTACATGCTATAGTAGCAACGACACTAAGGTTTATGAAAGACCCGCGGCTGTCGCCCGACATGCAGTCACACTACCATGCAGTGTCGAAACATAGGGTGCAGATATATGCGATGGAGAACGTGAGCATTGCCGCGTTGAGGGCTTTGGTGATACTCTGCCTGGACGAGTTGGGAACCTCAAATGGGCCGCGCGGTTGGAACATGCTCGCGTTGCTCTCGCAGAATGTGAGACAACTGGAACTCTGTGAAGAGAGCAGCGTGTATCTCACGGCCGAGGCAGAGGAGACGCCGCACACGGGCTCGATCCGTCGGGTGGCGATGGGCCGACCAGAATCTTGGATTGAAGATGAGGGCCGTCGACGGCTTTGCTGGATGGTTTATCTCCTTGATCGATACGCGACGATAGCGACAACGACGTTCGACTTCATGCTCGACGACAAAAAGATGAAGCGCGGTTTGCCGTGTTCATACGACCTCTTTTCGAGAAACGTTCCCGTTGAGACGAAGTCATGGAGTCCGTCATCCGACCAAACCGGCAGCCCGACCATCAATAAACCCGAAAACCTCGGCAGTTTCTCGTACCACTGCGAGATCCTGCGTATACTGAGCAAGGTCCACGACTTTCTCAAAACACCCATCGACGTAACATCGTCGTCGGAAATGGCGGTTTGGCGGAACACATATAGATCGCTGGACGGTGCGCTCGACAGCTGGTTGCAGAGCTTGCCCAGCGAGTACAGCAGAATTTCGGCTCTGTGCCACTCAGATCCCGCGAGCCGCGTCGCCAACTGGTTCATGCTGCATAGCGCATATGTCACGTCTGTGGTGCGTCTGCATTCCTCGGCTGCGTACCCCACTGTGAGATCTCACATCTTCGTCCCATCGCACTATGCCATGCAGAGGTGCTTGTCTGCCGTGCAAAGTCTCGGCGATATTGCGCAGGACGTCTTTGAGGCCAACGGCCTGGATCTCTTGGGGCCGCCATTCGCCTTTTCGTTATGGGTAGCCGCTAGGTTGCTGCTTATCCACGCTGCGACTGTTGGGTGTCCCGTTGATCCCAAGATTGACTTTTTCATCGAAACGCTTCGCCATGTTGGACAGTACTGGGAGGTCGCAAACAATTACGCCAAAATTCTTGCTCGGGTGGTACAGCGAGGGCGACAGGGCGACATGAGCTTTACCGCGATGAGGAAGTAAGTAATCCCATATGATGTCTTACCGCCCCCGGACCGTACTAACAGCAATGCCTCAGGAGTGCCCACGATCTGGTAACCTTGACATCCTCCACACGACGCTCTGGCATGGAGCCGACATCGACTCAAGTGACTTCGTTGAGCGAACTTGACAACATTGACGTTTTCGACTTTTTTAATTATCCCAAGATGTCTGAGCCGAGCTCACGGGCGACCAATGGTCAGACGAATTTACTACAGCCACAAGTGATGAGCGGGTTAGGCGGCGATTCCATGAGGACGACCGGGGTACCAGATCCAGAGTCGGATTGGCTGGGCTTCAGCACTCCCTTTAACTGAGGCTGGGGCTGAGGTCGACGCTGCGGGTTGCTTTTCCCTGTTTTATTCCCTTGACATATCGAAATATTGTTTCCACTTTTAGACAGCAAATATCATGGAAGCTGGGCCGGCGCTGGAGGCTTTGAGGAACCTGGTTGAGGCGTTCGTGGGGCGTTGTAGTACTTCTTCATTGATGGATCTCGTGTGGCTTCGCGATACAGCCACAAGGAAAGCTGGCAGATCGACCCAATTGAAACTGCTGATCCCCGCACAAGCTGAGGAGCTTCGATCCACTGTGACTGGCTGAGCCACAGACAGCGTCCGTGTGTGCCATGACGTTCGTTGAAACGCTGTTCCTGGTTCTCCCCCATCCTCTTCAATCTCGATTCTTCTTCCGACTTTGGCAAGGGTATCAATTGTGAAAACGACTAAACCAATCTCTTCGGACATTTCGAGCAAATTTGAATTAATCATGGCGCCGAACCAAGGCCTTGTGCATCCGACTGAGTACGACATCAAGGACAGCAATGTCGAGCTCATTGGCACGGACATTGACCACCAAGTGAAGTACAACTCTGCTGCTACCGAGCCAGCTTGGAATGAAGGCGAAGTTGGCCAAGCCGCTGGGCTTCATGT